ATGTTATGCTGTTAGTAAATAAAGTATTTACAATAAAATCTGGATAACTCAATAACCCTTAGATAAATCAAAGTAATTTTAAAAGTCCAGTTGAGCCTTTGTTTATGGATTGTAATAACTCAAACATTTTCTAATAAGCTAATTTCTTGGTCCCTTGGTGGTTTTAATTATTGAGTCTTTACTGTAAGATTTTGTGCTATTAGTAATTGATGTTATTGTTTGTGATGTTATTGCTGTGATGTTTTGTGTTGATAGACAACTTGGCTTACCTTCACGTTGGTGTCTATCGTCAAAAATGATTATTGGGTTGTTTCATACAGAAACTGACTATATATAACCATTTACTAAAAGCCAAGGATCAATTTTTATGTTAAACCATAACAGTTTACCTTTTTTTGATTATTTTTAGTGCACTTTTTTTAAAAAAGAGTTTATAATCGAAACTTGCAACAATAAATCTTGAAACTTTTACAAAAATACACACAAAAAAAAACATCTCTCAAAGAAAGTTTCTTATTTGTTAAAACTTTTTTTGAGTTTTCAAATAAAAAAAGTACATTAATGTGTAATAAGTGTTTTCAATAATTTAGTTTTATTTTGGTCGAATTCCTTCTCTTGATGTTGATCGTTTTTAACAGCCAAAGGGAAGTTGTGTTAATCTTAATACCATTTACTAAAAGATATATAATAAAGAAACAATTCAAATTGATTTTATAAAGTACTTCTGATACTTTTATATGTTAAAATTTTCTTTATTTGTAAATTTTTTTTTTTTTTTTAATTTTTTTTTGACTTTTTTACAATTTTTTACAAAAGACACTTTTATTAACAATACTCATTGACAAGAAATAAAAGTCATGGTCAAACATTTGATAAAGTTAATGTTAATCTCAAAGGGACTCGGTTTTCACTTCTGATACTTTTTATGTTAAATTTAATGTATTTTTTGTAATACAAAAAAAATATATTTTTTTTAATTATATCTTAAGAACAATGTTTTTTGCTTTTCACACAAATTTGTAAATTTTTTCTCCTTTGAATTATAGTGTTTTATGGATACATTACTCATTTTGCTTTATTTTTTTTTTATATTTCGGTTATATTGTTATATATGAATGGAAACCGCTCATAATTTTTTTACCATTACCATTGTAATTACGGATCTAAAAAGTTCCATTCCCATTAAGTTATACTAATTTTCGGTTCAAATAATAGCTATAGTCGCTTATTAATTTGCTAAAAACGGTGTGAAAAACAACTTGAAAGAATTTATTGAGAGTTTATTGCACAAAATTTGCTTTAAGAATTGTCAAACAAATAAAGCTAACTTTTGACATAATTAGAAAACAGCGAGAGAAATGTCACATAATTGTCAACTATGTTAAAGATACTTTTGTTATATGTCCACGTAATAATTTTTTAATTCTTTGCCATGCACTTAATAATATTGAAGTAAATGAGTATAGAAATGGTTGGTGTGAAATAAAGTTTAGAGATTCGTATTTTACTGGTTTGGACCTTTATTAATTAATCAATAAAGTATTATTTATAAGCAATAACCAATTAATGTTTTATTCAATTTAACACCACAGTAAAAAATGTTTTACTAGAAACTGAGTTTTTGTTACTAGAAACGCAGTTGTTTTTAAGCAAATCTATAATTTTTATTATATGTGAAATTTTATTTAGTAAAAACATGGCAAAATCTTATGCACTCTGCTATTTTTAGTCACCAATAACAACTATGTTAGGAAAATGTTATATATGGTAGATAAACTGTTTTAGTGTGACGTAAAGATAAACTGTTTTAGTGTGAATTTACACACTTATAATTTAAGTATGTAAATTGTTAGATCTATAAGTTATAGACAGTGCTGGGTTTACTGATAGACAAAATAAGCAATGTTATCATATTTATTGCAAAGAATATTCAAATAAGTAAACAATAACTTTTTATACACAATTTATATAGTATAATTAAAAACTTTAAAAAATGTCTATATGTTTTTCAACTAGAAACTTTAAATTTATTATCTAGATTAGATGTTGTAATTATCATATTTTCTAGACTAGATGTAGTGTTATCATATATATATATATGATAAATGTTTATATATATATTGTACTGTGTGTATATCTTAGATGTGCAGGCTAGATGTAGTGTTATCATATATATAACATGATAAATGTGTATTGTATTGTGTGTATATCTTAGATTTGCAGGAGATAATGACAGAAGAGGTAGATGTAGCACCTCTTCTGCCTGAAAAGTTATTCCAAAATTTTCTCAACAATTAGTGAGCATTTTTATTCCTTTTTTTTTTTTTTTTTTTTGTATCACTGTAGTTTTTTTAAAGTTTGTTACTGCAAATAAATTTATGAACTAATTTTTCATACATTTGTTTATTTAGATAACTTAGAGTTAGTAAGCAAAATTTCATTATATTACTTTTATGTATATTAAATAAAAAACAATGAGGTTGGCTTTAGTCAGTATTTTAATTTTTTTATTTTATACCAACATTATATTATTTTTTTTCCCTTTTTTTAATATAAAAAAATTAAATGTATTTTTTTAATGTTAAAAAAACTAAATGTATATTGTAAATTTTTGTACATTTTGTTTATCTATTTAGAAAAATTAGAAGATTTTTAAAAGTTGATTGGTGAGTTAAATTTCATTTGTTTTTATTACACACCCTAATTATTTATGTACATCTAAAATTAAATGCATTGTTTACAATTTGTGATTAGTTTTACACTTTGTACTTTTTGGCCTTATTTTTAGATAAGATTTTAGACTACATTTGTAAGTAACTATATTATGTTTTATGTGTGATAATAGTTGATTATAATAAAATCATGATAAAAAGAAAAAATATATATATACATATATATATATATATATATATATATATATATATATATATATATATATATATATATATATATATATATATATATATATATATATATATATATATATATTAGCTGATTAAATATAATCGCTTATATAGTGATAAATCTTCCTCAGTAACGTGTAAGTTGTTGTACTCACTTACACATTGATTGATTGTTTTTATTGCATTTATAATTTTCTTTTATTTATCTCTAGCTGCTGCTTCTTCTGTTACAAGTAAGTTGTTGTACTCACTTATACTTATTACATTGATTGATTGATTTTATTGCATTTTTAATTTTCTTTTATTTATATTTAGCTGCTGCTTCTTCTGGTACAAGTAAGTTGTTCTATTTACTTATACTTGACTGATTACATAGATTGTTGTTATTGCATTTTTAATTTTTCTATGTAATTTCAGTTGCTAGGTCTTCAAATAAAATAAGTTTTTGTACTTGCCTATAATTTAATATAACATTGATTGCTTTTATTGTACCTTTAGTTTTTTAATATAGCTACAGATGAGTTTTCTAGTTTAATCAGTTGATGTAATAAGTCAAGTATAAATGAGTATAAAGAGATAAATTGTTGTGCTCACTTATACTTGATTTATTACATTAATTACTTTTATTGTTTGTTTTTTTATAGTAGATTTTTTGTAAATATCACCTTAGTAGATAGTTGTATTTATATAGATATACTTTTTTTTTTCAGACGCATGGGAATAATTTAAACACTCCCAGCATCCGGGTCTAACCCAGAGAGCCTTCTACCGCTGGTGTCTGTAGGGGGAGGACCGTCCCTCCTTTAGATGGAGGGATGGCACCTCATATAGCCCCAAAGAAAGAAAAGGTGCTGAGGGGAGCAGAAGGTGTGGCTCAAAAGTTTCTTTACATTTTAACAACTTTTGAGCCACTGAAATTTTTTGTTTGTAACTTTTTTATATATATTTAAATATATTATGGTTAATTAATTTTTGTGTTGTTTTTTTATTTTCCCATTAATGTTAATGCTATCAAATAACATAATTTAAATACACTTTTATTAACAATACTCATGAAAAGAAATTTGTCTCTTATATAAGAAACTGTATCTAATATAATCCTTTTATTATGTATAAAACATTGTAGAATATTAAGTAAATAAGTACGTTTTAAAGTATAGTAAATTAATAATTGTTGTCCAAAAATGTTAAACCATATAATTTTTTGCTGTCTACTAACAGTATAGAGACCAAATTAAGAACAAGTTTAAAATATTTGTGTGTGGAACAGATTTTATAAAGTTTGGTCTAAGGTTACAATCAAGACGGTTTCCATCAGCATTCCGCAGTAAAAACAGCTTAATTGTATGAACTTGTTAAGAGTTTTTTTACAGAAAGGCTTTTATAAAAAATATTGAACAGATAAAGCTAGCTTATTTGAAATAACTAGGTCTCTATGTCCCATTTTTCAATGTCTAAATTTGCTTTTAAAGAAAATCCTTGCGAAAGAGTTAAAATATTATTATCATAGCCTAAGTTTCAAAAAACACCTGAAGACATGTCACGCAACTGTCTTGTATGCTAAAGATACTTTTATTGTGTAGAAAATGTTAAAGTAAATATACTAAATAGTTCAAAAGTATAGTATATTGAAAATTAATCAGAAAGCAAGAACTCAGGTAGTTAGCAAAATGCAAACTGCCTACTTTTTAGTTAACTAAGATATTTTAATGACCTCAACCGTCATGATATTTAAAACATTTGCTCATCAAAGTTTTAAAATAAATATAATGGTATTTTATATATTTTAGATAATAGACTGTTTTTTTTTTAAATTAATTATAATTTAATAACTAGCAATAAAGTTCGCATTTTTCAACCAGCCAAAAATTGATTAATTTTTTGATGAACTAGAATAAATTAAAGTATAAAGACTAAATTAGGAACAAGTTTCGAAATAATCAGACCTACCATGACCCGGATTGTACAGGTCATGACAGCTAGTCAATAATAATTGATACAACTAATTGTTTAGACTGCTAGTATGTTAATAACTATTAATAACAAAAAAGAACTAAATTTTCCAATGAAAAATAGAAAATGAAAAGAATATGTTACCATCTTTCCATAAATCAACTGGTGGAATAGCTAAACATCCTTCAAGACTCACTAATACTGAAACAACATAAACAAATCCTCCAACTTCTTGAAAAACAACTCGCGTTTGAGGGTTTTGCTGAAATATGTAGAGCAAGGATCCTAAGACATCACACTTTAATTTTAAATCAAAAACATTTGTAGAATGCATCAGTCCTAAAAGAGTACCTAAAAACACAACCAATTATTTAAGAAAAATAAAATTGAAAAATCAAAATTATTACAAATATTTATTATAATAGTATAAAAATAATAATTTTTATTGTATCAACAGATCCCTATCAACAGAAATATTTACCTATTAACTACAATAACAACAAAATACCTAAATCATCATTTCCACCATCAACAATAAGTTGCTGGATAATTCGTAAAGCATATGGTCTGACTGAATCAAATGGGATCAAGTTGTGAACACATCTCGCACCCCCATGCTGTCGAAACATTTCTGTGTTTGCATAATTGTTTTCAATTAACAGTCTGACACATTCCATTAGTAAAAATAAGTAATCTGTTGTTGATTCATCAACTGCTAACTTTGTTGCTATAAAATGTTGAATATATATATATATATATATATATATATATATATATATATATATATATATATATATATATATATATATATATATATATATATATATATAGATATATATATATATATATATATATATACAGTGCTTCCAGAAAGTATTAGCGCACTCATATTTTTTTTACCTCAGATAAATTTAATTCAAAAACAATAAAAGACTGATTCATAATTTTTTTTGCAACTAATTCATAAAATAATGCAGAATTATTAATTGTAAAATATATAAAAGTACTTATTTATTATTATCTTGAATTTAATTAGAATACAATAGGAGTGATAAAAACAATAATAAAAGTGTGCAAAAGTATTACCCCACTTACAGTTTTTCAAAGATTTTAGGAAAGTTTAATATTTTATGTGACCACCTTTGTTTTTAAGGCATGCCAAGACTCTACGCGGCATAGAATCTATAAATTTTTTGATTAGTTCATGTGGCACGGTATTCTACAACGCTTGCATTTGCGTTTTGAGCTGCACCAAGTTAGTGGGACTGCTTTTTTGTAATTTGCAGTCCATCCAACTCCAAAGATTCTCAATATGATTCAAATAACGTGAGCGAGCGGACCAAGGCATCAGGCTTGACCGTTTTTCATTCATGTACTGCTTAATTGAGTGCGCTGTGTGGCAAGGAGCGTTATCTTTTTAAAATTGCCAGGTGGAGTCAGCTTTAAAAATGTCCATTGATGGCTTTAAATAATCTTCTAATATCTCTCTATATCGATGTTGACTAAGGTGATCAGTGTAAAGATGCGCCAGGACATTGCTAGATTCAGCAATGCAGCCCCAAATCCCAACTGAACCTCCTCCTTCTTGAACTCTTGACATGATAAAACGAGGATTATATTGTTCGTTTTTGTATCTCCTTATGACAACTCTTTTTTTGCAATTAATAAGTTCAAAATTTGACTTGTGCTCTATAATCCATGCAGCTCTCTCTTTGCACCATTTTCTTCGTAGTGGCTTCTTTGTAGCAAGGTATGAATTGAGTTGTCTTTTCTTCATCAGCTTGCTAATTGTTGATCGGCTAACTTGTTGTGTACCTATTGCTGTATTCAAGTCTGAGACGATTTCAGCTATACTCATGTTTGGGTTGTGTCTAGCAAGCATAATTCCTTTATTTTTGTCCCTTTTTGACAGTTATTTGGGACAACCAAATCAACTTTTGTCTTTAACTGCTCCAAACTCATTATAGTTTTTTAGAAGTAAAAAAGTAAACTTATACATTATTACGCCCATCAGGCATTACAAACAACTATAACAACAACAAAATTATATACAAAAATACAATAATGGTTAGCTTAGATGAACTTAAAGTTGCAGATAACAAATTTATTTTTGTGGCAACATTTTGATATTAGTTCATTTCGTTTGTTCAATAGCTTCCGAGATGACATTAAGATATGTTTTTTTTTGGTTAAACAAAGGTTACACAACTTTCCTCCAGGTTTAAATGGTTCTGCCCTATCAATAAGCCTCCAGGTAAGAATAGGATTTGAAAATCCCTTTTTTTTTTTCATTTTCCAGATATATTTAAAAAGTTTTGTGGTATTAGCTTTACTTTCATATTGAAAGAAGTTTTTATGTTTCTACCAGTAATCTTTAAAGGTGAGCTCTGTTAAACCAATATAAATAAAGCCACTACCCTACATTAATGTTTTTACATTGCAGACAAATTATATTTTAACTATAATACATATCTTGCAATGACATTGTGAAAGTTGCCGACAGTTACATGTTGCAACAATTGTGCCAGAAACATTAGATATTACTTTTTTATTGTGTAAATTAACATTATTGGCGATATTAGGAAGACAGCTGTAACTGACTTTTAAATTATTCCTATTGAAAATTTTGCAAACTTATGTGTTTTTGGTGCTTTTCAATTAAATTTATAAATTTTTTGCGACGTAGGTTTTTACATTTTGTGAAAACAGAGGATTAAACCAAATAATGTTTCATGATCATGATCCTGGTTTTGATAGAGCAATATTTTTTTGTAATCTTTAATTATACCCACTTGCTCACAAGCAAATTAAAAGCATTGATTTTAAGTCGCCTGTCAATCATTAAATTTTCTATAAACTTTAACTTTCCTTTTCCAGTAACTTCCAACTCTAATAGTTGTTGCTTGCAGCCTTGTTAGAAGCAAAGATGTTAATAATAAAAATTAATATATATATATATATATATATATATATATATATATATATATATATATATATATATATATATATATATATATATACATATATATATATATATATATATATATATATATATATATATATATATATATATCTGTGTGTGCGTATATAGATGCTGAAGATGATGTATATATATCTGTGTGTGCGTATATAGATGCTGAAGACATCACAAGTATGTCATGATAGAGTATTATAATAATTTTTTTCCTGCTTAGTTAAAAGTTTAACTTGTTTAGTTGGACTTTCCTATATCAGCAATAAGAATTAAAAAAAAAATTTTGTTTATTTATTTTAGAAATATGATGATAACACCCTTTTAATGGCTATTGTGTATTATTTAAATCTTCGCTCAAATGTTATTAAGATAGTATAGATGATGATGACAACACCCTTTTAATGGCTATTGTGTATTATTTTAATCTTGGCTCAAATGTTATTAAGATAGACAGATAACTATGGAGGAGACAAATATCTTCTATGCATTAAAGCTATTGTGGTTACCCCCTAAAAAAGCTTGTTGATATTATACACTATGCTTTTTTTTCATTTAACCTAGAGTATCCTTCAAGTTTAAAATGATTTAAACAGAAACATATTTTATTGTACTTTATAATTAAATATGTGTGAATGTTAATTTCTTAGATAATTTTTTTGTTTGTTTGAAACTAGCCTGAAATAATTGAAACAGTCTAAATAAACACTAAAACAGTGTGAATTAACACTAAAAAGGTACCCAGGAAGGAATACACCAAAAAGGTGTTATTTAAAACTGTTATGGTGTTTTTCATGCTGCACACTTTTTTAGTGTAATTTAACACCTTTTAATTAAGAGTGTACATATATACATATATTTTTTTATTCTAATTATTTAATTCAAAACTAATTAGTAAATAAAATTTTTTTTTATTGTTTTCAATAATTTGATTAAAATATAAAAAAATATTGTTAACAAAAATAAAATACCGTCCAAAGAATCTTTGAGTGATGTTGAGTAATGCTTTAATGCTACAACCATGACATCCATAAGACCTGCTTCTCTCAAAATAGTTTTATAAAGTGCATTATGGTTTATCAGTAATATGAGCAAATTCAATACAACACACTGGCTTGACTTTAAACTAGAAAAAAAAAATTAAATAGAGTTTTTTAAATAAGAGAAATGTATAATAAAGTAAAAGATTAAAAAAAATGAAAAATCATAAATTTTATACAGAAGAAAAATAATTTTAAAATATAATAAAGAAAATAAATGATGGAAATAAACAAAAAACTCAATAGTATAACAAAAAAATACAAATATACTAATATGGAAATATAAACGAAAAGTGAAATGATTTTTAAATACATAAAAAAAAATCTTTCTACATTATTTAAATTAAATTTAAAAATATATCAAAACAATTACTCTGGTTTCTTGAAAAGAATTGTCATAGCAACTAATTCTTGACTTGGTACCCAAGATAAATGTAAAGCTACAAACTCCACAAGTTTTAAAACAGCACTTTTTAAGGTGATATCTTTTTCAGGTATATTTTGAATAAACTGAGCAAATGGATGAAGTGGCTCAATGATAAAGTAGTTTGCATTGTCTGAATTTAAAATACTTTGAATTGCTTGCAAAATTTGGAGATTTAATTTTGTATTAGAACACTAAATTTAAAAAAAAATACTTTAAAAAAACAAAATACAAAATAAAATCATAGAAATAAATAAAAAAAGCTTTTAAATGTCCTTAGGGTAAAATAAAATTGGAAAAAAATTTTTGTATCAGATTTAATTTTTATATGTGAAAGTGTATTTAACAAAAATAAAAAGCTAAGTGATATTTTTTACAAAATAATTATTTTAGAGGGTTCTTAAAATTTAAAATAATTTTACATTTATTTTTATTTTATTTTTTATTTTTATATAGGCACTGCAGTGAGAATAGTGGATAGAGAATAGTGGATGCTTTATTTTTAACAAGAAAAAAAAAAAGAAGATTTTTTAAAAAATCGTTTGGAAAGTTTTTAAGTAAGGGAAGAGTTATGAGAAAAAAAAAAAAACTTTACTCTTATAATCTTTTGAATCTAATAACTAACACTCATCCTGAAATTTTAGAGAAACAGTTAAATCCATTGTTACAAGATTGGAATCAAGTGACAGGCAATTTGACAGGAAAAAGCAATTTGCAATCAAAATGCTTCTGGTTTTTAAATTTCTAGTTTTTTAAAAAAAGCAAACTCTATTTTTTTCATTAAACTTAAGAGTTTCCATGGCTTGTAGTACAAGATTTAACCTTTTTCCTTATTGTAGATCATTAATCAACCAACATGTTTAGAGGTTCTGGACTCCAGAGACCATAAAAAAATAAAGTTATAAACCGGGTCCTTTTGGGACTCTGCATATCTGCTATTTCAGTATAACATCAGATTGCTTAGCTAAGTGCCCAATATTATTTGTATGTGTTTGTGTGTGTGTGTGTTTATATATATATATATATATATATATATATATATATATATATATATATATATATATATATATATATATATATATATATATATATACTTTATCTACTATAGCATAAATATGCTATAGTAGTCATATAAATATATGAGCAATTGCTCACTTTTTTTGCTAGTCTAAATTTAGTGAGCGTTTTGAGAAAACAATGAGGGAAAACGAAGAATAATGAATGAAAAGGTTGCTGACCCATAACAAACCCTCAGTCGATGTAGCAGCACTCCACTGCGAGTCATGCTATTTGTCAGTTGATGTATGTACTGAAGCCTCCGCAGCAGGCTATTTCAGTATGATGTCATCATGCTCACCTAACTCATCAGTATAAGATATATATATATATATATATACATATGTATATATATATATATATATATATATATATATATATATATATATATATATATATATATATATATATATATATATATATATATATATATATATATATATATATATATATATATATATATATATATATAAACACACACAAACATGTTGGTTGATTAATGATCTGCTATATAAAAAAAAGTTATTATATTTAATGACTTAAAACTTATTATTTTTAAGCCCGGAGTCCCAAAGTCCTTGTCGCCATTATACCTAAGGACTATGGGTTCAAAAATTGATTGCTCTTCTGACCTTTAAATCTTGATTTTTTCCCCATTAGTAGCCCATAAGCTTTTTTATTTTTTAAACTCTTGGATACGAAAAATTAAAAAGAAGTAATCTTTTTGTGACTTTCAAATCCAGAGTACTTATTGGGTCTCAGCATTCCTGTGAAAACTCCAGTACATCGACTAATTATCTAGGATACATGCAAGGGAGCACCACAATATCAGCTTTGGGTTGTGAGCATTTTTGCTCCAAAATGCTGATCTAAATACTCAAAAAATAAATTTAAATTCATATATATGTATTGAAAAATTTTTTATTGGAAAATCATTTTATATTTTATTTATATATATATGTATGTTTGCATGTATATATATATATATATATATATATATATATATATATATATATATATATATATATATATATATAAACATGTATATATATATATATAAACATGTATATATATATATATATTTATATAAACATGTATATTTATTTATAAACATGTATATTTGAACACCATCATTATCATAATCATCATAATGAACATTCAACCAACCATCATCAAACTTTAACTTTTACTTTTTATCCTATTTCTCTAATAAAAACAATTTTGATCATTTTCTTTCCTTAACTAAAGCTCATTCATATCATATGTAATGCATTTTCTCTGAGTTTTCCTACCTTTTACTTCTACCATTTTCTCCTGAAGTTACTCCCTCTCTATATGCTGATCTCTAAACTACTTTATTCTTCTCTGACAGACACTGATCAATATAACTATTTTTGTAATACCTGCCTAATACTGCTCCTTTTCTGGTCTTGTCATGCCACACATCTATCTGATCATCATCTTCTCTTTCCATATAAATACTAAAGTTTATATAAATATGTTAAGATTTTGTATGCCAGAACCTAAATTAATAGCAAACATATATGTTTATATCCAAATAGCAAACATATATGTTTATATCCAAATAGCAAACATATATGTTTATATCCAAATAGCAAACATATATGTTTATATCCAAATAGCAAACATATATGATTATATCCAAATAGCAAACATATACGTTTATATCAAAATATATATTATGTCTGCATAAATGCGCTTCTTGATAATCTCCTGGATCCAAGCAGGTATGAAAACTTTTATTTCTTCTATTTCGTTTTAAATCCATGGTTTTCACTTTCTTCTTTCACTTTATAAAACCGTAATAACTTTTGTTATCTTTTTTTTCAATATATTTTAATTTTTTTACAATTTGTTCTCTTCAGAACAAATGTCTTTTTATTATTCCAAGAAATCAATGTAAAAAAGTTCTTTCCAATGCTAAACTCTGTTATTCTCAGTTTAGTAAATCTTATGTTTTATCTCAGATGTTTTTAGAGATTTTTGGAAGTCTTCAACAGTGTCATTAACTCTAGTTAAGTCTAGCATCCATCTCAAATTCATTGGTTTCAAATTCATTGATCTTTTCCTCTAATTTATCTCTTGAATTGTATAATCTACTAATTGTATACTCTTCCTACCATTCTTGTATAATCATACTCTTCCTACCATTCTTGTTAAACAGATTAACCTATTTTTATATATCCTAATCACTCTGGCTTCTAATGCTAAAGCCAATTCTAAATAAAAAACTTTCCATGGCTTGTAGTGCAGACAATATAAACATCTTAATCTTAAAAAAAGTGTTCGGCAGAACTCATTCAATTCTCGCTAAACTATTAAAAAGTTCTAAACATGTGGTTCCAATATTTGAAAACTCTAGGAAAACACTTTAACTATCCTATGGTTACTCACTCTGTTATTAGTTTTTTTATATAAAGGTTTTGAGATTATCAAATTATTTCAAATTATTTTTTATGAAAAATTCCTCTTAAACTATGATTAGTATTCTCTCTATTCTCTTTATATAAAAGTTTTAAAACTATTAAGTCATTTTTTTGTAACCACTGTATTAAAGTCATTCTCGAAGGCCTACACTCTTCACCAGTAACTTTAAGAGTACTGCAAGGTTCTATCTTGGCTCCTGTTTGCTTTTAATTCTACAATAACAAGTTTCCTGGCAATCTTACATCTAAAGTGGCTTCATTTGCTGACGACTCAACTTTATATTCATGTTGTGACAAAAGGTATTCACTTTTTGATCATTTAGAACAAGCAACCAATCTTTAATCTAATCTCACTTTTGTAAAAACTTGAGGTTTGTAGTGGCTTGCGAACTTAAACTCCAACAAAACTTAGTTATTCACTATAAACGACTGCAATATTGATGATATTCTTATATTGACTAATACACTCTCACTCTCAGACAATTACACTCTCACTCTCAGACAATTACACTCTCACTCTCAGACAATTACACTCTCACTCTCAGACAATTACACTCTCACTCTCAGACAATTACACTCTCACTCTCAGACAATTACACTCTCATTCTTAGACAATTACACTCTCACTCTCAGACAATTACACTCTCACTCTCAGACAATTACACTCTCACTCTCAGACAAGGTCCAAAACCACATACTAAATGTTGTTTGACCTGCTTTATGTTTTAAACTTGAGCTACTCTCCCATTTTTGTAAGTTTACATCTCTTTCTTTATATATTAATATAACGCATTGTAAATGTTGTTGGTCCTGGACTATCTGCTAAGCTTGAACCTCTTTCCCATCGTCGTAAAGTTGCATCTCTTTCTCTTTTCTACAGATACTATCATGGTCACTGCTGAAAAGAGTTATCATCTCTAGTTCCATCAACTAAAATTCATTCTCGTTTTACTCGTCATTCAGCTAAGTCTCATTCGTTTACTGTATCTGTCCCTGCATGCTCTAAAAACTTTTATTCATCTAGTTTTTTTCCCCGCACTTCAATCCTTTGGAACTCTCTCCCATCTTCATGTTTTCCTGACTCATACAACCTTCAACTTTTTAAGTCTTCTGTCAACCGTTTCCTTGCTATATAACTCTGTTCTTTTTTTTTTCTTCTAGTAACTCCCAACTTAATAGTGGTTGCTTACAGCCTTGTTGGGAGTGAATGCAAATAAATAAATATATATATATATATATATATATATATATATATATATATATATATATATATATATATATATATATATATATATATATATATATATATATATATATATATAAACAATTTAAAATGTATTCTACAAAAAGAGTGCTCAATGTTCTTAAAAGAACAGAGCAATTACAAATTAGTAGAAAATCACTTAGCAAAATTTTTTCTCATTTAACACTGTGTTTCATCAATAAAGACTCATCTATAATTATATATATATATATATATATATATATATATATATATATATATATATATATATACATATATATATATATATATATATATATATATATATATATATATATATATATGTATATATATATATATATATATATATATATATATATATATATATATATATGTATATATATATATATATATATATATATATATATATATATATATATATATATAATAACATCTTAATATAAATAAA